CACTAATCGTTTGGAATCTGTTCCCTGTCCCACATTGAGCCCAACAGTTTCTTCAACTCCAAAACCAACGCTAAACAACCCTCCTTAAAAGCTGGTAGGCCGATAACAATGTACTTCTTGAGATGAGTAACTTTCCGGAGAACCTCTTAAATGGGGGACAAATATCAACTGACATTATTCCCCCAGTTAAACCTGGATTTGTTTGGTACCTTGAAGTGGCGTTGCTGAATATGAATCGATATGCCGTCCTGTTTCCCTTAAGCCCGTATTCTTAATCGAACGGAAAAGAGCACGGCTACTATCAATAGCTGTCGCTTTCCCAGCTCTCTGCATCGCTTCTTGCGGTCATTCCTCAGGTTCTTGATGAGTTAGCGTTTAAGGACTGAGCGCTGTCAACTATGGCATCTAAATGAATGGTTCTGCGAGTGTCCAGCAAAAGAGCAGATCTAGAAATAATCCATTGTTTGCGCCTTGTTTGTGCACCAGAATCCACCGTTGTTTTAATCGAAATTTGACTTACTTCGTTGATTGGTGTCAAGAGTTCATTGAGTCCTTCGCCTGGTGGTTGAGGTTGGAGGTGATGACGGAACTCTCCTTCAAAGGATAATTTGCAATTATCGCCTAAATTGTATGTTGAGTGTCAGTTTACGGCGGTTTTGCTTCGGTTGTTTACCGTACATAGAGAGAATCCGGCTTGTAAGAGATCATGGTCCGTATTCGCGAGTGTTGACCAGTGATCACGCTAGTGTTGTCAGGATCACCGCTTACGGTAGTCGATGACAATCTGATCAACTTGAGTGTATCGCTGTGAAGCAGCAGGTAGTGTCCATGTAGAGCGGTGTCTTTTCCTGTGGGAGAAGTTAGTGCTTGATGGGAACATTTCTTATTCTGCGCACAGTTAAAGTAGGCGGTCTTCGTTGTCCGTTTGGTTGCCTGCAATTGCATGCGAGCCGCCTAGACATCTTTCTGATTGATCCACTCAAACGTTTGCAGTTGCTACTTTGACACCCGTTGACTGAGAAAGAGATGAGAAGTCATCATAATCGTGCAGCGTAATACGCTGGGACGGACTGCACTGATCGCTGCCATCTGAGAAAGTTTCTTATAGAATTTATCCTTCATTTCCTGTGCTGTTCGGTCGGTCGGTCGATGCGTATAGCTGGCTAGAATCCAGTTACGAAGGGAGCGGCTCAACGTTGACACCTAGCGCAATCCCGAAAGCATCGATACCGCAAGCGTTGAATGCCAAATCGCCTGACGCACAAGGAGTGAAGCGTGCGGATGAGGTTGGGTCAGAATAGCGCAGGGTGAAAACTGAAGTAGAGCCATTTGTGCAAGTTTAGGAGATACAGTTTGCGTCTAGATGGAAAGTTTCAAGGTTCTAGCTAAGGCGGCTTCCTGGTCAATCTGTTAGAGTGTATGATCAATGAATACGGTTAAATAAAGCGAAGTTTTGTTTGAACTTTATTAGTTTCTAACCCTATAGCTTCTGTTTGGTTGACCTTACTAGTTCCATGCGGAATGATATCCCATGGGTGGTGCAAACAAGACGCATCACGTATGATTTGGGAGTGAGGGGAATAACCAGACATATGAGAAAGAGCGTTTTCCGAACGGACGCCTGAAACTTTAGGGTACGACACTTCACGGTAGACCGCAGCAACGAATTGTTTTTTCCTCCTTGACCAGAGCTTTCGACTCTAAAGTCTGACTCAAGGTGATGGGGCGTAGATCAAACGCTGAAGCGTAACCATAGCATTTAAGTGAGTTCTTATAGGGCATTATT